CCCACCGGGGGAGGCGCCCCCCTGCTGATGCCGGCTCGGTCACAGACAGTGCAGAGGGTATCCGGGAAGCCATGGCGCCCCGCGGCCGTTCCGGTGTCTGAAACCCTTAAACTAGTTCGACCTAGTCCGACTGGGCTCACCTCTAAATTCCGAAGGGTTTGGGGCTCAGGTATGCGCGATCCAGGTACTCTCTTCTTGTGCTCTGCTCACAGCGCTAGCATCTCCTGGCCGCTTCGAACACAAGTTCTAGTGGGCCGGGCCTGGTTCCCGCCCCCAAGAGCCCCGCCCCCTCAGGGCCCGCCCTCTCCTGCCCAGGTGTAGTCCCCAGACAGCCAAGGATTTACTGCAGCCCAGAGCGGGCCGTGACTCCGCAGCGCCACCTGCCGCCCTAACGACGCTAATGCGCCCCAGTCCAGCCTGCGCTGAGCCTTCCTGTTGCACAGCGCAGGTACTGGTGCCGCCTGGAGGCCACCCTGCATCCTGCATCCTGCATACCCGCGGGATCTCTGTCTTAACTTTTCCAACGCACCTCGCAGCGCCTCCTGCTGCCCTGTTACTGCCTGTGCCTTGCATTCTCGCCCAGATGGCAGGTCCCCTCTTGTTCTGACATGAGCAGGAATCCCACACAGATTCTACACAACGCGCGCGCGCGCGCACACACACACGCACATACCGCTCGCTCCCGACCTACAGCTTGAGGCTGCTTCAGCGCCCGCCTGTCTCTGGCTGTGGGCAACAAGAGCTATTTAGCCAGGCTAGCATCCCTGGTCTTTTCAGCTGCCTTTTTACAGGGACTCACGGAAATTATTGCAAGAAATGAGCTCAGAAAATTGCATCTGAGAAGGACTAGAGGCACCTTGATCACACCGTCTGAGTTAAGGAAGAAATTGAAGCCCAGAGAAGTAAAGGAGTGTATTCTCACTCAGAGTTCCTCAGATTTTTTTAAAGATATATATATTTTTTTGAGAGGTTTTTTGCTATAGGGCGCGTGCGTTCACCAGAGAGAGACATAAAGATAGTGAGAAATTCCCCCCCCCAGGGGGGATGGTCACGCCGCAATCCCTTCTCCTCCATTCTCCTCTCGGGATCTTGGGCACGCACGCACACGCGCCCGGTGTGAGTACCCGGCGTGAGTTTTAAGCCACCGGGCCCGGGACGCGAACTGTGGTCGACTACGTGGGAGTCCAGCGACATAGCCATTACGCTAACTGCTGGTTCCCAAGATATATTTATTTTTAATATTATTTATTATCATTATTTTTCAATTTTTGATCAGAGACAGAGTGAAAGGGAGAGTGAGAAACCAAGCCGCCAGGTTCAGAACTCAAACTGCAGTGGGCCATGTGGGAGTCCAGCACCTCAACCACCACACCACCTGCAGACCCCACTCTTTAGATTGTAATGGACTTGCAGCCACCTTGGATCTTGTTAAAATGATGATTCTGATTCAGCAGGGTGGAGTGAGCCTTGAGAGTCTGCACTGGTTGCATCCCAGGAGAGGCTTCTGCCTGCTGGCCCAAGGATCACACTTGGAGTAGCAAGGAATGCTTGCCCAGGTGGGTGGGGACAGGTTCAGCATTATTGGAGAGTAACTTAAAGACAATTCTCTAAAATACCTCAACTACTTTTTCTAACAATACATGCTCATTATGAAGAATTGAAATAATATGAGCCACACATCCACCCCCCACACACACACACACAATATGCATGTGACCAGTTCGGCTATTATTTGCTTTATATATATATCATATGTGCATAAATCATACATGCACTCACACACATATAGTGAGATTTTGTTTGTTTGTTTTGCTATGGGGTGCATGCACTTGCTAGAGAGAAACAGAGAGAGCGGGGAAAGTGAGATAGTACCCTCCAGGGGGAATGGCTACGCCACAATACCTTCTCCGCCATTCTTGTCTCAGGACTTTTGATGCGCACACACACACACACCTGGCATGTTTTTCAAGGCACCAGATCTGGATTCCAGTCATGCATTCGGTCATGTGGAATCCAGTGCCTTAACCATCACACTACACACTGGCCCTATAGTGGGATTTTGAAATACACATTGTTCTTTAACTTCTTAAGTTTGTTTTAGTGACAATACATAGTTATATTCTCATTGTAAAATAAAGCCAGCTTTTCCCCCTTATGATATATTATAGGTAATTTTCCTTGCCAATATGCACATTTATCTAAGTGTTTCATTCACACGATTTATTTAATCAATCTATCAATGCATTTATTGCCTCCAAATTTTCACTAATGTAAATTTTTCTCGGTATAATATCTTTCTGTATATCCTTGGGATAAATTCCTACTAATGAAATTCTTTTTTCCTTGTCAATATACTTACTTGGTTTAATTGGCTCAGCAAAAAGAAACGCTAAAAGAAAAGAGCAGGCTTCAAAAGAACATGTAGATTAGAATGATAAAAGATTACATATGCAGATATACATACATGTGTAGGTGTTTAAAAAGAGGTTATTTCTGGGGTGGGCAAGTGTCATAATGGTTAAGGTGCCAGACTCCCACATGGCCAGCAGAGGTTTGAGGTCTGGACCTGGCGGCTTGCTTTTTCATTTTCTCTCTGTCTCTCTCTGGTCAAACTGAAAAAAAAAAAAAAAAAAAAATCTAAAAAAACCAATTCTTTTTTTTTTTTTTTTAGAGGTTTTTTTTTTTTTTTGGAGAGATTTTCACTGTAGGGCGCGTGCGCTCGCCAGACAGACAAAGAGAGACATAGAGACAGAAAGCGAGAAATCACCCCCCAGGGGGGATGGTCACGCCGCAATCCCTTCTCCTCCATTCTCCTCTTGGGATCTTGGGCACGCACGCACACGCGCCCGGCGTGAGTTTTTAAGCCACCGGGTCTGGGACACGAACCGCGGTCGACTACGTGGGAGTCCAGCGACATAGCCATTACGCTAACTGCTGGTTCCCAATAAACTAATTCTTTAAAAAAGAGAGGTTATTTCTATTGGAAGGTTTACAAGTAATTTTTACTCATTTGCGTTTTTTGCATGGTCTTGTCATACAGCATTTCCATTGTAGAAAAGCATACATATGTATATATTTCACCTATGGCAAAAATATAATAAGAATGCTTTTGAAAGATGGCAAGGTAGTTGAAGATGAATAAAACTTGAAATAAGATCTATGTTATTCTCTAACAGAGTACATTTAAACTGGATTTGTCTCTTTTTTTTTCTTTTTTTTTTTTTGGAGAAGTTTTTGCTATAGGGCGCCTGCGCTCACCAGAAAGACAGAGAGAGACAGAGAGATAGAAAGTGAGAAAACACCCCCCGAGAGGGATGGCCATGCTGTGATCCCTTCTCCTCAATTCTCCTCTCAGGATCTTGGGCACCCATGCACTTGTGCCCAGCATGAGTTTAAGTCACCAGGTCCAGGACTCAAACCGTGGTCAACTAGAGTTCAGCGACACAGCCATTGTGCCAACTGTTGGTCCCAGGATTTGTCTCTTTTTTAAAAATCAAATTCACATGCCCGATGTGGCACAGAGGTAATGCAATGCTCGGTGAGGTTGACCTAGACAGGGAAGGTTCCATGTTTGCATCCAGAGACCTCACTGAATACACCAGGTGCATGTATGCCCATGATCCAGGACTTACTGAAGCTGGGAGTGGGTCATGGCATAATGCTCTGTTACCTCTCTCTTTCTCACTAATGGATGAGAGAAAGAAACTTTTTTAAAAAAGTAAAACTGGAATTAAAATTTATATGCAGTGAAATGCACAGATCAATGCAATTAGTTTTGGTAAAGGTATATGTCCATATGACCATTCCCATGAAAAACATATAGAACATTTACAACACCCCAGAAAGTTCCCTTAGCCCCTTTCTTCTCATTTCCCACATAGGCAACCGTCATTCTCATTCCTGAATGGCGTTGTCTATAAGCCACCTCTGTCATCCTAAGACAACCTTCTTTTCATCTGGAAGCATCAATGTCCATGTTTATTAAATATACCTGGAATCTACCTCTCACCATCTCAGGGGTCACAACCATGCTCTAATCTATCACTATCTCTCAGCTTGGTCATTGCCATAAGCCTTCTACACTAACTAGTCTCACCAATTCTGACCTCCACAGCCTATTCAGTGCACCAGTCAAAAGTTAAAATTAAAGTCTGGTCATGTCACTTCTTTATTTAAACCCATCCAATGGCTTCTCACTTATTCAGAATAAAGGTTGAGGTCTTTATGATTATTTATAAGACCCTACAGCATCTGATTCCTATTACCACTCTACCCTTACCTCCTACTACTCTTTTTGTCCTGCCAAAGGATGGATGTGCACATGAGAAAGGGAAAGAGAGAGAGGAAAGAGGAAAAAAGAGACAGAGAGATGAGAGAGGGAGAAAGCAGTTGCCAATGGAGCCTGGTCACACTGTGGTCTTTTATTCTCCATCCCTTTGGGATCCTAGAAATTGTTAGGTCACTGGGGCTGGGACTAGAATGTTGGTCAACCATGTAGGTCTGGCATCCTGTGTGCAGCACTTACCCACTGCACTACAGGGCCAGAGCTCCTGCTGCTCTTACTCTGGTTCATTCTGTGTCATCCTCACTGGCTTCTAGGCTGTTCTTTGAACATGACTATAACTAGAAGTAGCCTTGGTAAAGTCATTTGGTTTCATGCAACAGAAACAGATTCAAATTAGCCTCAGTAGGACCAATAGATTATTAAATGGATGCAAGCAGAGTTTGTTAGTTTTTTTCCAGGTTTTTGCTATAGGGAGCATGTGCTCACCAGAAAGAGACAGAGAGAGAGAAAGTGAGAAATCACTCCCCTTGGGTAGGGGCTGGGGAGAATGGCTGTGCTGCAATCCCTTCTCTTCTATTTTCTCAGGACTTTGGGCATGTACACACCTGCACACACACATGTGTCCGGTGCGAATATCAAGCCACCAGGTCCAGGATTGGAACTGCAGTTGGCTATGTAGGAGTCTGGTGCCTTAACCATCATTGCCACCTGCTGACCCCAGCAGAGGTAATTTTAAAAATTCAAATAAATAAGGACTGGGAGGAGGCATGTTGGTTAAAGGGAGTGGACTTCCACATAGCTAACTGTAGTTCAAGTCCCAGACCTGATGTCTTGCTTTCTCACTTATTCTCTCTCCCTCTCCAAATTTAAATAAATAAATAAATAAAGTTAAATAAAATAGTTATTTTTTTAAAAAAAATCAAAGAAATAAACTAAAGCCCCTGG